GTGTGTGTGTGTGTGTGTGTGTGTGTGTGTGTGTGTGTGTGTGTGTGTGTGTGTGTGTGTGTGTGTGCGTGTGTGTGTGTGTGTGTGTGTGTGAGGGAGAGGGAGGGTGAGAGAGAGAGAGAGAGTTGTGTGTGTGTGTGTGTAATGGTACGTCACGTGTAAAAACAAAATGTCCAAGCATGATATGGAAACTATATCATGATCAAGCTCCGAAATAATTCTTTGGCGCGACCCCCAATATTCTTATCAGGCGAACACAGGATTTTAAACCAGCCCAAGATTCCAAACAGGGATACATACGGACATTTAGTTAGGTTTATCTTAGTAATTTTGTGCAAGAAACGACCTAGGAGGCATAAAAGTTGTTTCGTTTGCGTGGCTTAGGAAGTATGTAATCTCGTTTCGATCAAGGGCATGTGTAAGGGTTTGCGATCGATATCAATAGATCCTGGATCCCGTTACATGAGGTAGTAAATGCAATAACGCACGACCATGAAACGCCTGTTATGAGTTACTATCACTTGTAATTATCAGGATAACGATAAGTTCGTTGTTTTACAACGAAAGGAAGACAGAGGAGTATCAAAATTTCAGAAGAAGCGTGTGTGTAGGAAGGTCATGATATACGGAATTCCAAAAGTTTTTTTTCCAAAAAATTGCTTCGTCGTGCTACGTTCGGTGGGGGATGCTTTAAGCATGTGATAGTTGATTGTTTATCACATTTCACCATCATACGTAGGTGCGGAAATAAGCAAGAGCAGAGGGAAAGGAAAAAGATGGAAGAACTGGGTATAAAGAATGTGGATTATGAGATTGTGAGTATATTTTTTTTGACGTGCTATTAAGTTTCTTATAGGAGGGTTGTTATTTCGTGTTACGCTCGGTGGTGGATGCCAAGTATACGATCATTGATCACATATCTCATGCAATCGTTGTGCGTAGGTGCAAGAATAAGCAGGGGATCGTAAAAATGAAAAATCCAAAAATGCATAGAGACATATAAATAATACCAGTGAGATCATAGGCAATCATTCTATCATGCGCGGGTTCTCGTCTGCTGCTTCCCTGTTGTATTGTTACGGACAGTAGCAGGGTCGCGTCTACTACTCTTCGTAAGTGTGAGGGAGGAAACCTGAGAAAGATCCTTCATGAGATATGCAAGAGGTTGAAGAATAATCAATCATATGCCCTTATAAGATTTCAGACAGAAAAGTGGAAAAGCAAACAAGCAATGAAAGCGAAAAAAAGGAAAGAAGCACGAGGGGAGACGAAAAAAAAAAAAAAAAAAAAAAGAAAAAAAAAAAAAAAAAAAAAAAAAAAAAAAAAAAAAAAAAGAGGGAAAAAAAAAAAAAAAAAAAAAAAAAAAAAAAAAAAAAAAAAAAAAAAGCATTTGACAAATGAAACAGCAACCTCTTATTTGGTCGTATCGCTGAAGCAGTACCAATTAGCATCAATCACAAGTACGCATAAGCAAAAACAAGCACATAAAAAAAAGAATGTGAACACAGATCGACTTTATTCCCAAAGTTATTTCCACGTAATATGGGAAGATGGCCTCGACAGCCAAAGTAGGGAGCGTGGTGGCAATCCCTGAAGCGCTTTTCTGCCCCTAGCCATGAATACACGACTTCATCAGAGGGTAGACACTTGTTTAGTCATGCACGTTTTCGAAGCAATTGCGGGGAAGGAGGCGGCAACGTCTGCAGCAGATGAAGAAATGCGAGAAATGCGAGGAAAGCAAGAAGAGTGATGAGCGCGAGTACTACAAAAGCTGAAATTCCAATCATGATTTCCGCTCTATCCGTCGCGACATCCCTTTGCAGAGCCATTGAGAGGAGTGATAGTACTTTGCTAAGCAGCCAGCATAGAAGATCGCAGAGGAGGAGGAAGAATGCAACCATCCTTTAGTAAGGATGGCGAGCAGCCATGGGAGCGAGCAAGCTGTGCACAGAGAAAAGAAAAGAAAAAGGCCTAGGAAGAAAGGACGGTTGCGCCGGAAAGACGTCCATTCGAGAGCCTATACCACGTCATCGACGTTGCCGATCAACTAGTCTACCATGGCCAGATCAACCTCGTAGTCCATGTCGCTTGCTGCAGTACTTCGCCGAAAAAAACTTCGGAGGTCCTATCACCGTCACCGCTCCCCCCGAGCGTACAGTGAAACCGTCGTTGCCCCCTGCCTCGTCGTACGTTTTTCGTAGCCAAACAAAGCGCATGCGTACTGAAATTGAGATGGGAGACAACAAGGGGATCCTAATGCTAAATAGTTTGCACCTATCATCAACATTTAAGTTTTCATTAAGGCGCCAACTTTCTTGGGATCGAAAACATTGGAACGAAGCAAAAAAGGCAATAAAAAAAGAAACGGAAAGGAAATTGCGTCGTATTGTACAAGTGTTCATCCCCATAGAGTCCCATGTATCCACTTGTTTTATTCTGCTTTAGCGAAAACAGTTGAAAGCAACGACTGAAAAAAACTTCAAACATCTTACGAGGTCTTTATTTACAGGATTTATTTCTGTTTGCGCTCATGAGTTATGTGCGTCGCTTCTTGCAATAGGGTCAGCAATATATTGTCGGTTGATGGAGCATCCCATAACCAATGTTGGGTGCTACGGATATGGTTCATAAGGTGGAAATCCTGCAATTTTATTAATTTTCTAGTCCGCTCGTAACATGCAGTACTTGCAAGAGACACACAGAAAGAAAGAAAAAAAAAAAAGAAAAAAAAAAAAAGAAAAGTTTTTTTTGTCTCGGATTCTTTTTATCATATCCTTCTTACCTTTCGTTCGTCCCTCTTGTCATGCTGGCTCTTATGCTCTCTTTCTCTGATACCCTGTATGTGTGTGTGTGTGTGTGTGTGTGTGTGTGTGTGTGTGTGTGTGTGTGTGTGTGTGTGTGTGTGTGTGCCCCACCCCTTACCCACCGGTAGTAGGGGAGGGGGCGGAAGGCAAGATACTGAAGGGTATCGGGCCTTTTAGCCCCTCCCCTCCGGTTTCCGCAACACACTATCACAAACATACACACATAGTTTAGGGCATGCGGAATCTGGCAATCAGGATACTTCCGACCATGACATCATCTACCCTCCTTAGTTGATACTTGTCCCTGTTTTCAAATACCTTCTCGATCACCTTCCAACACTCTCGTCTGTAGAAACCATTAGAGATCAGGGTCGGGACCAGGGCGTTGATTTCAGAAGCAGCTTTTTGCTCATCCGAGCAAAGGAGCATGACAAGTATCGTCTGTGTTGTCAAGATTTACAATGATTGCGTAATATTGCGGTTAGACTTAAATTTCATGAATTTGACAACATTGAAATTGAGGCCACTCCTCTTATCGTGTTTGGATGTGGCATACGTGCCATTTGTAGTGGATGCGATGGATAGTGTGATATTCAGAAAGTTCGGGACCAATCCTTGCCCATCGACTTTGATCTCGGTTGTTTCTTTCACATCGATGAATTGGTGTGGGTAGAGCCTTAGGGTATGGTCCTGGCCAGAGATACCGTTGCCGAGAAATCCGACAATTATCATGTTATTTAACTCACGCAGGTCATCAATATACCTATATGTGTCCTCAAAGCACCTAACTGTTTGCCAATCCTGGTTCTCCACTAAGTGTGAGATCAATCCAAACTCATACTCAAAAAAATACACATCGCATAGAACGGGAGAGCAAGCAAGACTCATCGGGATACCTAGAACCTGGAGCCAAACCCTGTCCCCCATTCGTCACGATCCCGTTAGTCACAGGTCATTTATAGACTCTGATGATATCCCTTTCTCTGAAGTAGAACTTCTCATACTCCCTTTCTCATTCCTCATCCACCCAGTTGGGATGTAGTGAATCGTTAGCGGCAATAGTGATGGCGACGACGTCTCTCGCGGTTATCGATCTCCTTCATTCCATTGTTGTTTGCACGAAGAATCTAATCACGGAGATTAATCCTTTGTCTGAGTTGTCCGTTGGTATGGCCTCGAAGCATCGTGTGATGTTGTCGGCATAGATGGAGTACACATTTTGCGGGAGGTTGGCCACAAACTCCCTCAGTGACGTGATAGGCCACCAATAGTTAGGCCTTACGTCATGCTCCGCCATTACCTTATCACTTCTACTGGCACATAGTGCTTGTACATCCACAGCTAGGAACTTGGGCAGACAGTCGTAGATGTCAGCGATGTGAGAAAGTACAGAGCCAGCTGGATTGGTGATCCATCTGAAGGATTCCTTGTGCGCTTTGTAGACTGTCATCAAATGAGGTAGCGGCATTCTATCCTCGAAGTGTCTGGCGGACGCGAAAGTCGTGGCCTGCGCTAACAATCTAGCGCTGACCTTGTCAGGCTGTTGTTGGAGCGGGACAAAGTCAGGGCCAGATAAACGCTCTAGTTCCAGCTTTCGAATGAAGTTGATGCAGACGAAAGTTGGCGTATGGGGTGCTTTGTCCGTTGGGCAGACTAGGTATCTCCCAGTCAACCATTCGATCTCCTTCCTGACTTCATCGTTGTTGATGGACTCCGCTGCTATGTGCATGTGTCGCAAGTGATACTCCATGATGAGGCGCCTGATATTATCCAATGCCACGTTCTTCACTTGCCTTTCTTCCTCCATGGATAGTTCCATGTCGCACCTCCTTGTCGTTAGTAGGTTGTCCAATACGTCCTCCAGTTGTCCCACCACATAGTCCTTGTCTAGAGCCCTCATGGGTATGTGATTGAGGCCGACATTGAGCATCAGCTGCAGGCGTTCGTTGTCGGTGATCCCAGTGTCAAAAGTGATGACATGCAGATATCCATCATTTGGTAGCAATCTGATGGAGGTCGGACTAAGGAAGTCTGCATGCCTGCCATCTCCGCATCTGCAGTAGTCTAGTCTATAGCTTGCTTCTCATTCCGCCATCTTGAACTTCTTGAAGACCTTGCCAGGCTTGCAAAGCTTCACTCCAAGCGGTTCGTCATAGCGCCAACCTATGACAACTTCATCCAACCAATCCTTTGACCTTTCCCCGACGACCTATCGTAGCGCATCCATAACTATTATCCTAAGTGGTACTGCCTCCATGAGTCTGGTTGTGTACCTGACGTGGACAAATTCCCTCTTCTCTTGTTTCTTCGTTCTCCAAGCAGTTCTGCCGGAGGGTAAACATTTTTTCCAAAAAAATGCTTCGCCGTGCTACGTCCGGTGGGGGATGCTTTGAGCATGCGATAGTTGATTGTGTATCGCAATTCACCATCGTACGTAGGTGCGGAAATAAGCAAAAGCAAAGGGAAAGGAAAAAGATGGAAGAACTGGGTATAAAAAATATAGATCATGAGATTGTGAGTATATTTTTTTTGACATGCTATTAAGTTTCGTATAGGAGGGTTGTTATTCCGTGATACACTCGGTGGTGGATGCCAAGTATACGATCATTGATCACATATCTCATGCAATCGTTGTGCGTAGGTGCGGGAATAAGCGGGGGGATCGTAAAAGTGAAAAATCTGAAAATGCATAAAGACATATAAATAATATCAGTGAGATCATAGGCAATCATTCAATCATGCGCGGGTTCTTGTCGGCTACTTCCCTGTTGTATTGTTACGGACAGTAGCAGGGTCGCGTCTACTACTTTTCGTAAGTGTGAGGGGGGAAGCCTGAGAACATGAGATATGCAAGAGGTTGAGAAATAATCAATTATATGCCCTTATAAGATTTCAGACAGAAAAGTGAAAAAGGAAACAAACAATGAAAGCGAAAAAAAAGGAAAAAAACACGAGGGGAGACGTACAAAAGAAAAGGAAAAAGGAAAAAAGAAGAAGAAGAAGAAGAAGAAGAAGAAGAAAATCAAAGGGAGCGAGAAAGGAAAAAGAAAAACAGAAAAGAAAAAGAATAAATAAAAAATAAAATAAAATAAAAAACGATTTGACAAATGAAATAGTAGCCTCTTATTTGGTCGTATCGCTGAAGCAGTGCCAATTAGCATCAATCACAAGTACGCGTAAGCAAAAGTAAGCACACAAAAAAAAGAATGTGAACACAGATCGACTTTATTCCCAGAGGCATTTCCACGTAATATGGGAAGATTGCCTCGACAGCCAAAGTAGGGAAGGTGGTGGCAATCCCTGAAGCGCTTTTCTGGCCCTAGCCATGAATACACGACTTCATCAAAGGGTGGACATCTGCTTAGTCATGCACGCTTTGGAAGCAATTGCCGGGAGGGAGGCGGCAGCGTCTGCAGAAGATGAACAAATACGAGAAATGCGAGGAAAGCAACAAGCGTGATGAACGCGAGTACTACGAAAGTTGAAATCCCGATCACGATTTCCGCTCTATTCGTCGCGACATCCCTTTGCAGAGCCATTGAGAGGAGTGATAATACTTTGCTAAGCAACCAACATAGAAGATCGCAGGGGAGGAAGAAAATTGCAACCATCCTTCAGTCAGGATGGCGAGCAGCCATGGGAGCGAGCAAGTTGTGCGCAGAGAAAAGAAAAGAAAAAGGCTTAGGAAGAAAGAAGGGCTCCGTCGGAAAGACGTCGGTTCGAGAGCCTATACCACGTCACCGACGTTGCCGATCAACTGGTCTACCATGGCCAGTTCAACCTCGTAGTCAATGCCGCTTGCTGCAGAACTTCACCAAAAAGAACTTCGGAGGTCGTGTCATCATCACCGCTCCACGAGTGTACCGTGAAACCGCCGTCGCCCCCTGCCTCGCCGTACGTTTTCCTTAGCCAAACAAAGCGCATGTGTACTGAAATTGAGATGGGAGACAACAGGGGGATCCTAATGCTAAACAGTCTGCACCTATCGTCAACATCTAAGTTTCCTTGATGGCGCCAACTTTCTTGGGATCGAAAACATTGGAATGAAGCAAAAAAGGCAATAAAAAAAAAAAAAAAAAAAAAAAAACAAACAAAGAAACAGAAAGGAAAATTGCGCCGTAGAGTACAAGTGTTCGTCCCCATACAGTCCCCTGTATCCACTTGTTTTATTCTGCTTTAGTGAAAACAGTTGAAAGCAACAACTGAAAAAAACTTCAAGCATCTTACGGGGTCTTTATTTACAGGATCTATTTCTGTTTGTGCTCATGAGTTATGTGGGTCGCTTCTTGCAATAGGGTCAGCAATATATTGTCGGTTGATGGAGCATCCCGTAACCAATGTTGGGTGCTACGGATATGGTTCATAAGTTGGAAATCCTGCAATGTTATTTCCAGTCCACTCGTAACATGCAGTACTTGCAAAAGACACATAGAAAAAAAGAAAAAAAAGAAAGAAAAAAGAAAAAAAAAAAGAAAAAAAAAACTTAAAATAAAAAAGAAAAAAAATTGTGCCTTATATTATTTTTATCCTTTCCTTCTTACCTTCCGTTCGTCCCTCTTGTCCTGCTGGCTCTTATGCTCTCTTTCTCTGATAACCTCTGTGTGTGTGTGTGTGTGTGTGTGTGTGTGTGTGTGTGTGTGTGTGTGTGTGTGTGTGTGTGTGTGAGTGTCACGTGTATGTGTGTGTC